CTATTATTATAATTATTATTATCATTATTATCATTATTATTATTATTGCGGGGAGTTTTTTTACATATTACTTAAACATTACCCAACATTTTTTTTTTTTGCTTAAAAAATTGTTTTCTTTATCCTTAATTCAGTAAAAGAAAGTATATATATATATTAGATCAACAACGGACGCGCATATTTATTTATTTATATTTTATTTATTTTTGTATGAAAGAACTTCACTTTTTTTTTTCCAAACCGTTCTTTACTCGATTACCCGTCATTTTTTTTTTTTGATTTCCCGTAATTTTTTAGTATATAATTATTTTTTAATTAACATATCAAAAGTAAAATATTTCATTTCTAAAATATTTTCTCATTGTAAGAAAAAAAAAACGCGATATTTTAACGAACCACCTGACTAAATTAGACATGACCTGAAAAAAAAATGATTTTTACGATATTTGGACGTCAAATTACTTAAAATGTTATTTAAATGTTTATTGAAAAAATTTCCTATTGTTTACATCTCCCACTTGGCAAAAATGGTAGATAAATACAGTATATGTTACATATTTACTATATCTATTTTGTTACTAATTAATTAATTACTACGCCATATTTAAAATATTTTAAACATATTTTAAACATTTTAAACATATTTTAACATATTTAAATATCATCAGATGACCTCACTATGATAATAAGGTTATCTTTATCTTTTATCAATTTTTTTTTTTTTTAACCATCAGTTAAAAAACAAGAATTTTTTCATCGTTTTTTTTATTTTTTATTGTAAATGGAAAATATAAAACTGGCAATCCATTGTTTTTTTTCCGTAAGTTACCAATATTTACCAATATTTACTTACCAAATGTTACAATGGTCCGAATGGTCCGTGGCTAAAAATTCCCTTTGATGATCGGGTATTGCCGATTCATAATTGGAAAAATTAAAACTACTAATTTTAAAAAATATAATGAAAAAAAATATTCCCAACAATCTAAAAAAAATCTTTTATTTACTTCTCTTCGTCTATCACATAATCGTTCGATATTCTCAAAGATTTCGTTGGGGTAAATAATTTTTGGGCGAAAAAAAAAAAAAAATTATTCCTTTAAAAGTAAAGAAATTCAAAATGTTTAACGCATAAATTATAAATGATGACCATTTGTTGACCATTTGTTGACCATTTGTTTTTTTTTTTAAAAGAAAACCTTATAATAATTTACCCAAGAAAGTTAATTAATCTTCTTTAACGATATCAATATTAACCACGTTAGAAACGGTTGATAATATGTCGTGTTAATGTTTTTTTTTTTTTCGTGTCGCAAATTTTAAAGTTGATTTTTTTTTTTTAAGACAGATTTAAGATAAACAAGAAAGTTAACAAACGAACAAACGTGTTTCAAAGTAGATTCTTTAAGTAATCGTCATTATAAAAAAAATTTTTTGTATACCATGAGTTAATAAACATGGTTTTTTTTTTATTGTTACTGGACAAAACCTTAATAAAATTAATAAAAACTTAGTAAAAAAAATCCTGAGTAAAAACCGAGTGAATAATAAATTTTTTTTTGTGTTACTATTTATAAATTGTTCACACAACAATGTAATACCTTGTAATATATAAATATTTAATAAACAAATATTGATACCGCCACCTCAATATTCACTTTTTGGCTGAATTTTTATTATTTACATGTAACTTTTTTCGTTGGGGTGGGCAACTTTATTGAAACTAAAAAAAAAAAAAAACGAAGGAAATAATGAAGTCATATGTCCAAACATTAAAACATTAAGAACAATCAGATTGACCAAATTTATCATTTTAGTAAGTTAAGAATTGTAAATGAGACCAAATGTATCTTTATAAAAAGTCTTAATTTTTTTATTTTTATTTTTATTTTTATTTTGCATGCTTTCTTTTCTACGCTTTTTACATATAAACAAGAAGGCGAAACAACAAGGAGAAGGCGAAACAACAAAGTGAATGGCGAAACAACAAGATGAAGGCGAAACAACAAAGCGAAAGGCGAAACAAGGCGAATACATATATACATATATATATATATATATAAACATATAAACATATAAACATATAAATAAGGATGAAATTCATTCATTAAGAATGTTTACCCTTAAAATGATGAAAACATACTTTTTGTTTTTGTTATGCTTTTTAATTTTTACAAATAAAGGAATTTTACAATTAGAAGAGGAATGGAATAATGGGAATAATAAAACTTCTATAACACCAAAATAATTTTAATTAACCCGAAATGAAATGAAATTATCCTTATAAAAAAAGGTTCAAAATAAGAAATGTCATGGTGTGTCAACCGCAATTGTTTACTATTACCATTAAAAGAAACTTGAGAAAAAAATGTACAATGTACATATATGTATATATAAAAAAGGGTAAAAGTATTTTTTTCCCCTTTAACTTTCCTCTTATGTTCCTTTTCGATTTTAAGGTTTAAGTTCATAATTACATAACCTACATAACCTACATAATTTACATAGACTACATAATTTACATAAATTTACATAAATTTACATATATTCCTTCGGTAAAATTCTTTTTTCCGTTATAAATTAGCAAAAAAATTTTAAACTAAGTTAGTATTCGAAACTACATTCTCACTTTTGTTTACCGTTTTTGAAAATTCTATTTATTTATTATTTAAAGTACACAAGTAACAACAAAGTAACAAAGTGACAAAGTATCAAAGTAATAAAGTAACAAAGTAACAAAGTAACAAGAGTACATTTTCGAATATCGAATCAAAAAGAGAAGTTTAAATCCAATCTTAGTTATTTATTATTAGTAACAGATTGGGCAATAAGATAAAGTTGTGGTCATCTAAAGGCTGGCGCACTTTTATCTCGTAAGCGGACATTTACTAAAGTTAAACCATAAAAAGATTATTAGTATGATAGTATGAATTCCGTTCAATCTATCCCGTATTTGTTAATAAAAAAAAGGGGGGACCTTGGAAAAAAAAAAGACAAAGTTTTAGAAAGACTTTTCTTTCCTAAAATGTAATTTTGATTTACTGCGGTGTGAATTTTTCAAATACTGCGGTCATTTACCGTTCGTATCACGTTATTAGGATAGTGTTGTTTTTACCACTAATTTTTTACCATCAATGCTAGTTATTTTGCCGTTAATGCTAGTTGCTTTTACCATTAATGCTAGTTGTTTTTGCAATTAATTCTAGTTGATTTTTACAGTCATTGCCTAATTGTTTTTCTAGTTGTTTTTGTGCCCGTTTACCTGCTAGTTGATTCTGCTAGTTGATTTTGCCGCTACTTTTTTTCCTATTATAATTAAATGCACTTAAACATGATAAGAAATGATAATATATAATAAAAAAACTTAATCTTTGTGTTCATTTTTCAATAATAATTCTTAATCTTAATAATCTTATTTAACTTTGTAAGATCAAATAAACTTTATTCTTCCCCTTACATTAATTTAAAAATGGTTTAAACTCTATTTTTTTCTTTGTAATAAATTTAATATATAATGGGATAATGATGAAATTGCTTTTGATAAGAAAGAAAGGAAAAGAGTTATTTCTAAATTGGAATTTTTAAATCAGGTGGTGAAAAAAAAAAATTCAACAATTACTTACTATTCAGCAAGGTAATGTGAAAAAGGACAAAGGATTCATGTGAAACGATCGTCATATAGCAGTTTGTGTATATATATAAAAGATATTTTTTTTCTTAAAAAATATATTTATTTTTAATTTTTTATATTAAAAATTTCTTTATATTTTTTTTTTTACAATAAAAAAAAAAACTTCCCCCCTTTTTAATAAAATATAATTGATTGAAAAAAAAAAAAAAATTTTTAACGTTTAAAAAAAATTTTATGGTAATTGATGAAAAATAAAATAAAATAAAATATGATTATTATTATTATTATTATTAAAAGGTACTTTTTATATTTTGATCCGTTTTTATTTTTTTTTTATTTTAAAATTTCTTTTTTTTTTTTTTTTAAAAAGAAAAAATTATTAATTTCGCCTCATAATAGGAT